AAAGCTAATGGACCAGTTGATTTAATACTTGTATGTATCACTAACTGTGTTTAGACTTAAATTGTAATTTATTTATTTCATTCATATAGCGGCATAGAAAGTTAGGATATTTGTTATTTTAAAAAAAACCAAACGTTAAACTCAAACCCAACCCAACAACCCTTGAAACAAGGAATTGTTTGGGAAGAAATGATAAGGAGTGTTTGTTCAATTCTTTATTATAAATCATGCCTTTCAAGTGACTTGAGCTATTAAATGGATTAGTACATGTACACATTAGCTACATTTGTGTGATACCTTGAAACAGATGGTGTAAGGATTCAGTGTGTCATGCAGACCCAGTAATCTGGTAATTTCTGAGCCAGGATCTTACCAAACTAATGCGTTTCCAAGGATAATCGCAAATTACTTTCCCTTAGCAAGGAACTTCTGTATTTAAGATAAGAATTATCTAAAGAATTAGTATTAGATGCAACCCTTTTTTCCATGTGCCAGCACAGAGATGGATATTATATCAGTCCAACCCTATTGTGAGATTTCTTCCCTTTTTTTGTAATGAAAAGGGCAGGGGAGCTAAAAGTGACTAAAAAAGCTAGGATGCCATTGCATATGGTTGTTTCCATTTATTCCTGTAGGATTCTGCGTTTACTTACTACTGAATGACAAAGGACAACAGTCATCCATGAATAGCAAGAAACTATGGAAAGCCTAAAAAAAAGACCAGTTAATATGTGGTCAAGATTTAAAAAGAGAGCTTTTCATGCTTTTGTCTTTTTAAAAATCATATTTATCTTCCTCTTTACATTTTGGATATTAAAAGATATAAAACAAGAGAGCTTTCTGATGTAAATGAATAAAACCAGAATCAAAATTAGGTACAACTGATGAATACCAAGAGATGTACAACTAGGGCTAATATATCTGAACTGCAAAAGTCTGGACTATCACTAGATGGCAGCACAGAGATACATATTTTTTTTGTCTATATCTTTGGTGCCATCTTGAGATCCTCTATATTTTTGCAGTCTAATATTGCGGAGTATATTCAGAGGAAAAGAAGGGTTAACATTTCTCAAATATTGTTAAGACATAGAAATTCAAATCCAAATTTGACCATTAATTCTATACTTACCTATAGCTATTGCAGTAGTGGCCTTTCTTAGAGATGGGGTAGGAGTGTATTCACTCAACTTCAGCAATAAATAACTCCCAAACATATAGAAAAAATAAAATAAAATGTCCATCTGATCTGATCAAAAGACCGTCCTCTGGCAAATTCTAGAGGAAGAGAACAGTATCAAGTCTTTTGAAAATTATTCTGGATACACTTTTCCAGTCCTATCTTGGTAAACAGCAAGCTTTGTCTCTGTAAAACAGGGATTGCACACTGTGTGTCCCTGGAGTATTCCTTGACATCAGGGAACATGCAACTGCAGAAATCAGTTGCTGTTTCCCACCATTTCCAGATGAAACCCTAGTCCCTTCTCATTGATTATGCTTTTAAGCAGTGCCGGAATTTGTAGTCCAGGATGTCGAGAAGGATCAAACATCCATACTCAAAAGAATAATTTAGGTACTTTGCTTCAAAGGGAACATCCTCTTGTCATTCCAAAGAGCTATAGGGAACAAGCTTTTCACTGGATTGTTGAACACCTGCTGGTAGCTTCCAGCAAAAAGGTATGCCAGCTTGGTCCAAAAGGGCCTTCCATGCCTCTAATGACATTCCCTCGATGTATTTGTAGCTCGGCATAGAGAGTTGGATAACTTGCCAGAGAAAATAAGGACTTGCCAAGGGAAGAAGAAACCAAAATAATTTTAAAAAAACAGCATAAAAAAAAAATCCAAGCATCATTGCTTACTGCTACTTCAGAAGCATTCTGAGCCAAAGGAGGAAAGAGCTGTTTCTCCCCCTCCCCCTCCCCCACGCCCCACTCCGGGTGCTTTCCTTTTTCACCCTTGGGAGTTGCGTGTGTATGTGTTTGTGAGGGAAGATTAATCCACTGTCAGTGCAGATTATTGCTGGCATGAGGGCCTGGCTGGTGACAAGATGGATAGCAGGGTTGCTGCAACAATGCCGTGAGAACCCGGCCCCCTTGCGTGACTGTCTGCCTTCTCCCTTCCAACCGCTTTCACCTTGGGACAGGCGGCCCTTAACTCTTTGCTGGCCATTTGGAAGGGAAGGGAAGGAAGAGCGGGGGGGGGGACCCAAGCAGAGGCATGTCTCTTTTCTGAGAAAGGCCAGTGCCTGGAGCTTGGCTGTGCCACTGCTGGTGGCTTACAGGTGCCCTTTCTTGGCGTCAGCTGCCCATGTCATACGGAAGCACCAGCTCTCAAAACCAAGAAGCTGATCTGCATAAAATCCTACGGTCTGAAAGCAATTTAAGGATATAGGCATGTTTATGTTTACGCATTCCTTCTGTTATTAGATCCACACACATGCACACACGCAGATCCAGTATATATAAATATATAGAAATTGTGACTGGTGCCAGCATTGGCAGGAGTTAGCGCAGTATCTTCTCAGCTGTGACTGAGATTATCATTACACAACCCTGCACCTCTCAGTTTAAAACTATTTTATAACTACTCCGTAACACAGTTTGCCAAGAAAGCAAAAAAAAAAAAAGTAATAATGATGTTCACAGCCCTTCTAAACTTGTGTGGAAGTTTGTTATGCTTTTTCATGAACATGTTTGTGAAGTCATCAGGAACTGACTTGGACTTGAAAATTTCTTTTGTATAAGGAAATACACACATTAAGTTATAATAGTATGTTTGGTCAATACAGTATTTCTGTAGGGAAACAGAAACGGAAACCGCTCTATGCCTACAAAACTGCCTTTGCAGTTTCAAACTTCAGACCAGCTCATGAAAATAGGGCCAGATCACTAAACTCATTAAAATGTTTTAACAACTTTGGCACGGAAGGGCTACAAAACTAATGATAAACTATACTGATGGCCTTGAGAATGAGTGGCACAATCCATAGAATTCTATTAAATATGAATAGGGATTATACAGAAGCAACACAAAACTATTGCGGAGCTTTTGTTATTTCAAATAGAAGCTGGAGATTGTCTCCAAGCTCTGTAATGCTTCTCCATTTGTTTGTATATTGTTACCTGGTGCTCAAATATAGTCTCCCTCTCTCTCTCATCTTTCTAAAACCGATCTATTAATCTATCATCCACGTCTCTAAAAATTCTTAAAATATTACGCAACAGAACTTTGTGCAGAGAACATTAAGAAAAGGTAATAACATAAAGCAGCAGGTTGCATTTCTCAGATTGTCCAATAGAAAATGCCACACCTGTTACATATGAACTGCATGTCTGGGTATCCATTACATTAGTCGTATGTAAGCAAATATTAAACTCGGTAAAACCCGGATCGTTGACATGAAGTACCAATCTCCATTTTTACACAAATTAAGCTCACATATGGAAAAGCTTAGCATATGCTTCTGAAAATCACTTCTGTGGCCACACACGGTGATGATTTCAGCCAATTCTCTTCCCACAAATTTGTTACAAGATGTGTATTTTCTTTCCAAGAAAGAGAGATTTCTCAATAACATAGGCTACCCATTTGTTCCTTCAACTGAGAGCCTGGCTCAGTTCCTCTGGCACAGCAGTTTTCCTCACATCTCACATATATTAGGGAGCAGCTAAATTTCTGTACAACATGCTAATTGTACAGCCCACTATGTTGCCAGTTCTCTTGAATATGTACAGCAGATGTGTTTGACCTCCACAAAGCAGCAGTGGGATGTTCGTGACTAGTAACAAAACCAGTGTACTGAAACTGTTTGGGTCAGTTTAGGCAGCAGAATGCAGTTTCCCGTCCATCTCTCAATCTACTGTATTGTTTGAAGAAGAACAACAAAAAAGCAGAAACTCATGCTCAGTTCATGGAGGGTTTATTAGTCAGACTTCCTCAGAACTTCTGCAGTCCTTAAGCATTAGTTATCATTTATTTTAGAGTACAGCCTAGAGCATATTCACTACATTTTGGCACGCGATATTCAGCACTCAGATAACTACATCTAAATGTCAATTTAGGATATATTCTAAGTGCCGAGTTGATATTCAAACAAGCATTTCCAATACATGTTTGTTTATATCCTGCCTTTATTATTTTTACAAATAACTGAAGATGGCAGACATATCCCACATCACCCTCATCCTATTTCCCCCCCCTCCCAGAACCGTATGAGGTGGGTTGGGCTGAGAGACTGCCCAAGGTTACCCAGTTGGCTTTCATGGCTAAAATGGGACTGGAAGTCATAGTGTTGCCTTTCTAGCTTGGTGTCTTAGCTACTACACAAAACCAGCTCTCTGAGCAAAGTTTAATTTTTGCTCGGTAGTTAAAAAAAAAGATCTGTTGACCTTGTGCATCTCTATTATATATTTGTAGAGGAGCAGAGATGGTTTTAGATACAATAATACTGTACTCAGTATTTGATAGCTCTGAAAGTCGCTGAATTTGGTACTCCTTGCATTTTGATGTGAAAATTTTGCCCCAGTACTCATTGTTTATTCAGTACTTGATGCACAAGCTAGAAGTTGTTGATCTTGGCTGCCTTGCTACCCTTTCCAGCCAAAACAAAGTCATGTGTTAGTCACATGGTTTATTTGGCACTCGTAGTACTCATCACATCTCCAGGAATCCATTAACAACGACTACCGAGGTACCACTGTAAATAAAAATGGCCCAGTTTGTTTCAAGTGGTAGCTAAATTGAATAAATGAGCTACTCTAGTTTTTCCGGGTGTTTTCTAGTTTTTCTCTGTACCTTATTATCACCTGTAAGGAGCCATTACATTTGTGGAAATCACTGTAAGTAAAAAATTGAAATGGAAATTACATTATTTGCATAATACTGCAGATAAAAAAAATCTTGATTTTTCCCTACATTACCCATTCATTGTTTTGTTTGTCTCAAAATATAAATAAGAATCAGAACACAAATGTAGCAATCGTCAAAATTGCAATCATAATATGATTAACTTTAATTAAATCAGTTATAATTATGAAAATATTTACAAATGGAAGACATGGAACATATCTTTAAAATGTTTACAGTCTTTGCTTATAACAGCATAATAGCTAGCTCTTCTTGGCTGATGCAACATTTTAATTTACAGCTGTGCAAGTATATATATATGCATTAAAAAATACAACTTCTAGTTTGTCCTTGAAAAACAAAATTTCCAAAATTCAACAAATGCTTTAATTTTATTAGATAGTTCCTTTACTGAACAAATTTCTTCCATTTTATTTTGGCTTCAGTCATAAAAATCATAAAGTGTTGAATGTTCACACTTGATATATCCATAAACTGCATAAATTCTGCAAATGTTGTTTCTCAGAGTTGTCACTATTCTATTGCACTAAACAACAAGATCTTAGTAAGTTATCAGATATGTTTTAGAAAGTCCAGGAGTCTTTAGAAAGTCCAGGAGTTATCCACAATAACGATTTATGATTGTTTCTTCTGGTATTATAGCAGAAGTTTCATGAAGAACAGGATAATATGGAAAGAAATGCCTCTTTGGCCCAGTCTTGCACCACAAATCAAAGAGACAAGATCTTCAGTCTTTAGCATCTCCTATTCCATCAGCATTAATAGCAAACATGGCTTCTGCTTCAGGGAGGCAAGGCGAATCGTATATCTTGCATATCCTAGTTTCACCACGACCTTTTCTCAAGTAAAGCCTAAGCAGACAAATTAATAGAGTTATTAAAATAAAAAGTAACGATTATATAAAACGTTAGACATTTATTCAACTTATATTCCATTCTATCAACCAGAGAATAGTCTGGGCAATTTTCAATTAATTATTGGTGTTTTAAGGTTTTCCTCATCCATTATATATTATTGGAAACTCAAACAAAACAGTCAGGTAGAATAGATAGGCTAGTTAAAGGAAAAGGCTATTGTGACAAACAGAAAAAAATCCTACTTCATCTTTGTTAATACATACTGTAGCTACATAACCAAATCCAATGCCGAACACTAGTCTCTTGTATTTTTTGCTGATTTCTCTTACTCCTCACAGGTGCTACAGTTAAGTATTGTCCCAGTGCCATCAGTCAAATAAAGTTGGTTCCCTACAGAAAGTCGTGCATTTGACCTGGGTTGCCCACAGCACACTGATGTGCCGAGAACATCAACAGCAGAGCACAGTATTATCCAAAATACTCATGTGTGTTTGAATATCTGGAAGGGCTAAAGAAGCGACTGAATAAGTAGCCTTCTATTAAATCATAATAATGTCCACATAAGAACTTATATTGCAACTTACAAATATGCATATTCATATTAAATATACAACTTTTTTTGCTTTCAACTACTATTTTACAATATATCATTATGACAAATTTGTAGGGTACTTTTCTTCATTATGTTGGTAGCTGAACATTGAAATTTAGCTTTATACTTCTAGAACAGTGGTGGCGAACCTATGGCACGCGTGCCAGAGGCGGCACTCGGAGCCCTCTCTGTGGGCACGCACGCTGCCGCCCCAGCCCCGCCTCCCCCCACCGCCCCCTCCTCACCAGCAGCTCCCTTGGAGGAGAGTCGCCCCCAGGCGTGGCCCACACGGAGCAGCACAGCCAAGGACATAGCTGGGCAGCAGGGACAAGACTCCGCCCTCGTGCCCCATAGCATGCAGATGATGATGCGGGGTATGGGCAGAGGGCATGGCTGCCATGGCGCTGCAGGGTTGCCTGGGTGATCTGTGGCAGGCCATGGAGGCAGTGCGTGGCCCCGTGGGTGGGCGGAGCAGGCAGGGCGGGAGGCGGAGCAGGGGCGGTTTTTGGGCACTCGGTCTCTAAAAGGTTTGCTATCACTGTTCTAGAAGGTACACATTGGAAGTCCATTATAGAATATAATCAGGTCCAAAGAATCACAGTAATTACTCCGCCTGTTCTTGATCAATAAGCTTTGGCTTCGTTTTTTTTACCATTCACGGAATCTGTTCCTTAGGATAGGTTTCCACAAATGGGAAAAGGATGGAGAACATTTTGACTTTGACTTGCAAACTTTCCTATGACTTATGTTGAGGGTTGGATAAGGTTGGACTAAAATGTTTCCATAGAAGAAAAACAAACATTTGATTTTAATCTTAAATTGTAACTTCTTTTAAATCATGCTGACTGTAGGGACTATGGATATCGGCTTCTCTCGACATTAATCAATCATGTGGGAATCTGCCAAAAAAGTTTACAGTGAATCTCAGCCCCTAAAAGGAAAGTTGCTATTCAGGACTCCATCCAGCCTAGAAAGGAAAATTTATTTGGAGTTCATGAAAGGATTTCTTTCAATCAACAGGAAATATGTGTATGTGTGTGTTAGGTTGTTAATTTCATCTTGCTCTGTGACAAAAGAGCTCTGGTTCAGCTCTTTTGTACCCTGAAAAAAGGGGCAAATGTTTTCACTGTCTTAATAATGTGAATTCAATTCTAATACCCAATACCCAATCTGTTAAAAAGCCTGAATAGATTAATTTTCCTTCTCTTGTTTTATTTATAATTCAACATTTTATTGTCGAATTTCTCAACTGTTTTAGGTGCTGAAAGACAGTAAGCAGGGCACTTAAAAAAAACTTCTCATATTAAAAATACTTTTCTATATAGTTAATTACTGTATTCTTCAAAGCTTGCAGATAATTACTTCCCATTCATTTCCAAATATTTAATGAACATTTTGAAGACATCATATAACAATTGCTTATAATTATTATACAGTATTCATAATCAGGATTACTTTTAATTAGATCTTTTGCAATTCCACCATGTAAGCAAATTGTAACCCTTTTTGTCCTATTGGAACTTTATGACCACTGTTCATATTTGTAATTCTTGAGGCTATCATCTGTAGAACATCCTCTGAAATCTATGAAGTCTATAGACAGAGTGGACCCGAGGCCACCTTGTGGTAGAAATGAATTACAGGAAGCACAAAGATTATAGGTTTTGTACTACTTCTGTTTGTCGTAATTTATTTTTTTTAAATCACAATCTCTTTTGCAAAACAAAATGTACCTCTCTGTAATTTAATTTATTTTTTTTAAATCACAATCTCTTTTGCAAAACAAAATGTACCTCTCTGTAATTTAATTTATTTTTTTTAAATCACAATCTCTTTTGCAAAACAAAATGTACCTCTCTGTAATTTTTGTCTGTTAATTATTGTAGTTACCAGCTCTCTCCAACTGATATCACAAACACAACCACCTGATTAAACTCTTGAATTTCTTTTATAAGACAAATGTAATGCACACCTGGATTTTTTTTAAACCAATATGGCCTTATAAAGTAAGCAGACTTTTAAAGAGGTATTTAATAGCTTGAGAAGTATATTTTATATTCTGCTTTTTAAACTATTTAAAGTATTTTTATTGTTTTTCTATGTAAAAAGCATTCAGAGATGAGTTGAATAGAGACTACGAATCACCAGTTGCTATTTAAATAACATGGCTTCAGTTTCCTCAAAAAAATGACATCACATTGAAGCTTCATCCTAATGTTCACAAAATTTCTAATCAAATGAAAACATGAAAACTGTATTAATTAAAACTAGCATCTGCCATCCTACCTGGTTGTTGAAGCATGTGCAATAATATTCCCTCCAATAGGTTTCTTAGGATCTGCAGCAAACATTGCAGCTCCATCTACTTGTGCTACCACCTGGTTTGTGATCACAACTGCTACACCAAACTATTATGAAAGAAACATACAATACATTTCAGCCTCTTTGCTATAAACTGAAAAAAAGAGGCATGGTGGCAGTGGCTTAAATACACTGGATCTGCCAACCAAAAATTAGATGACACTTTGGCAGTTGAAGTCCTGGTAGTACCACGGGATGAATTGAGCTCCCGTCACTTGTCTGTAGTTCCTGCCCTGCCAACTAGCAGTTTGAAAGCATTATTGTGACTAAATAAATAGGTACCACTTCAGTGGGAAAAGCTAGCTGTGTGAGAAGAACAGGAGCGGGCACTGGACCTGCCTGGACATGAGGCGAGATCGGCGGAAGAGGCCTCAGATGATGTCATCAATATGAATGCTGCTAGATGGTGCAAGTTAATTCACCCACCCATGGTGCACTGTGGATAAGCATGCGGGCACAAAACCAAACAAACTAGCAATTAGGTAGTCAGGACTAGTAGTGTAAATTTCCCTGACAAATGTGCACCATAATAAATGAATGAATGAATGAATGAAAGAAAAATCCCCAGGTGGCTTGGGATTACACATTGCTACAAGGATCTTTATGCAAAACGCTGCAAGTGGAACTAATGATTACCTCATCTGCAAGTCGAAGCAACATGCGCAGGAATCTGGCTAAATGCATCTGCCTGGCCGATAATTCCCCTCGGCCAGAGTAGTCTGTCCGGTAAAGAGCAGTGGCACTGTCCACTATCAGCAAAGCATATCTAAAAGAAAAGAGCAGGAGAACACACTTTCATGTACTGATTTTAATTCTTGCTCTCCAAACGTCTTTTCTTTTGTGGATTGTCTGGCCAATCTTTAGCCTACTTCAACTGAATACCTCAAATGCCAAAGAAGGAATACATCTTACTGCTCCTCCTGAGCAAGATAGAGCCATGTTAGCAGTATTTACAGCCTTACCAGGATGGAAACCAAACCAGCTGACAATTTGAGCACTGAGAACAATTTTTATTTCCTTGGCATCCATTCAGTTTCACATTAACTAAGTTGTTCTGTAAAGCAGGCTTGCCCCAATAACAACAAGCAGCCTCTGTACGGCTGTCCATCATCTCTTGCCAGGATAATGTGTGGGAGTCTTTGAGACAGTTTTTGGAGTTCTCGGTACCACCTGGACTAGCCCCTCCAGTTTTTCTGGCAAGATTTCAAAGGTGGCTTACCGTTGCCTCATTCTTGCTAAGGTTAAGAGAAAGTGACCAATCCAAGGTCACCTAGATGGTTTATGCCTAAGTAAGATTAGAATTAACTATCTTCCTGTTCTGGATCGTATAACTCTATGTGGCCCTGGCTGGAGCATGTGTCTCTGTGTTGGAGTGTCTAGCATTTGTTGGGTTGGGTGCTGTCTCCTTGGGAGATGGCTTGTGGGAGGTGTGGTTTGGCTAATCGGTCGTCCCGTGTTGGTGGGTCAGTGGGAGGAGTTTCTGGAGGGCATTGGGAGACTTCCTGGACACAAGCCAGATTGGAATGCCTTTGTCTGAGAGACGCATGGGCCATCGGATGTCACCAGATGACCCTGCTTTAACGCTATAAAGATGCTATGGAAAGAGAGCATCATTCTTTCACCTATGGGAATGAACAGAAATGTATTTTTCAGAAATAACAACCAGCATAAATGCAAGTAATCTCTCTGAATAAATATGTTTTGTTATGAAATTATTCCTATTGAGTTTATCTATCTGATCTGATTTATAAGGCATTTTAACTCAGGATCAGTATACTCCCAGTTTCTAAGCTGTTGCCTTTAATCACAACACCAAACTGGCTCTATCAGGATGATACTGATAAAGTGATAACTGGTTAAAAATATCCTCAGATATGTTAGAATTAATATCAGAAAATGCTATAAATAAAGGACTATAATTTCCTTGAAATATGACATAGGGGGAACAATAATAAAAGGCACTTTCATGCAATTCAACATATGGTGATGAAGAATGTATGCAATTTATTGATCAAAGGAATGCAACTTGTTAACAAAGCTTCTACTGAACTATTGTAACGCATATTGTTTTGCCTTTAGCTAAGATTCCTAGAAGCAGGCAAACCACAGCTTATTTTGAAAGGCAATTTTATCATCAGAACTTTTATAGTGAAAGAACCAAAGAAGGTTTTTTATGTCATTATCTTTCCAATTTGTATAAAATGATGTGTATCCTAAATTGGATATCTTTTACATATAAACATTTTAATTTGTTAAAGAAAAGTCTGTTTCCTTGACTTTTATTTTTTTACCTTGATTCGGTCATCATAGCAGAGGCTTGATAAAGCAGCTGGGTTTGATGGTCTGTATTAAATCCTCGTGCATAAGCCACATTATCAAGTACATCACTACCAGATAAACCATATCTAGGGAAATAAAGCAGAGGAAAGACAGTCTCAGATTTGAACAAAAATTTAGCAATCCCTTTAGGCCAGATAAAACATTACTAATTTTCTAAGCAAACAACATGACATTTTCAAAAACACTTATATTTATAAAAAAATAGATCAATTTTACCAGCGTAGAAACAAATACGTTACTTAAATACTGCCAACAGATGGCGCTATAATTCCTGTATTCAGGATGCAATACCAATAATTTCCAGATAGCAGTACAGACCTCTCAGCCACCGCTAGCAATCGCTCCGGACGGAAAGTGCCTTCTGTGTCTATGTACATGGCCTTTCCTTCACCACCACCTCGATCAATAGGGAGCTTGGGGAAAAAAAGACCAATTCAGTTTACATGTGAATTAACCAAAATTTCTTTCCATGATATGAATATTCCACACATAATTTTTCCATTGTTATGCAAGGTGATCCTCTCCCAATCCAGTTACTCATCCCTTCTCTAAATTTGATGCTGAGGATCCCCCAATCTTCTAGGGCCAATCTGAAGTGTGTATATGATAAAAAAGTAAACTGCCCCGTCAGTGAACACACATTGGATATAATCCATTATATTTGGGTGTTGGGGAGTTGTCTTATTATCATCTAAAAATACAAATTATTTGTAATTCTTAAAAGAAAGAATTTATTAATAGATTTATTAAAAGGAAAATGAGGAAAGGGGTAACTGAAGAGGCTAATTTAAGATAAACTTTAAATGGCAACAATCAAACTATTAAAATATCTGTAAACCATCCAATAATCTATAGCTTATATACCAGAACAAATATTTATTTGCTTGATGAATTTTATAGATAAAATGTTAAAGATAATTGAGAAAAACTAAATTCATTCTAAGAGCCATCAGCTGAATGATGACATAGCAAATGAATCCACTGTTGTGGAAAGGGGGCCTACCAGTAGAAATTATAGTTGTAGAAATAATTAAGAACAGTTTTCCATTTTACTGTAAATAAAAAAAAAATTCAGAGCATCTACCAAGCCTACGAGTTCCCAATCTGTTATCAAGTATCTCATTTAGCTTTCAGCTTCTAGAACAGGAGTGTCAAACTGCCAGCCTACAGGCCGGATGCATCATAGCGAAACCACGCCCACCCCATTGCCAGCAATGGCAAAAAAGTCGCGACACGTCATGTGACATTGCGAGTTTGACACCCCTGTTCTAGAATGTCCTGCCTAATTGGCATATTTAAAGAACTGCAGCATTCTCCACCTCAATGAAACCAAGACTTCCAAATCAGGGTCTTCAACCAAACATCTAATTTAGCCTTCACAGTAAAAAGGACTACAGAATTCTAATCTTACTGCATTATCTTCCCAGTCATGAGATTCATGTAATTAAAACATATGGAATAAAATAAATTCTAAAGATTTTTCTGCACAGTATTACACGAAGAGGAGTCACAGTTGCTTACTTGACAGGTTACAGCCAGTGTGTGACATATCTGAGTTTTTCCTGTGCGGAATTCTCCAAACATCTCTGTTATTGACCCAGTTTCTATTCCACCTGGACAAGAAGTACAAATTTCAGGCATATCACAATAACTGTAGACATACAACTATGCCTATATTATCTATCTTACATTTAAACACATACGTTTAAATTCAAACTTAGAGATCTGAAAGTCTTTATTTCTGCAAATATATTCTATATTAAACAAATTGACTTCTGAAATTCAAAAATGTTTACATGTTCCAGTTACAAGATGCGTAATGAACAGAATTCAGATGGACATTATTTATTAAATAAGCCATACTGCACAACAGCTTTTTTTGATTTCTTATGAAAATTATTTAATATTATTCAACAACTACAGTAGATAAATTTTCCATATGGCCTTACTAGGACACTGTTATTATTCCATTGTTCAATGAGAATATTTTTGTAGCAACTCTTTTAGGAGAAATTAAAGTATGACTGGACTTTAAGTAGCTTGGGAAACAATCTCTACAATTTTTTACTATTTTTTCAGAAGTAAACTTCACTGTATTCAGTTTGCACAGCACTATAATATAAATATGAAATTCAAGGTTTATGAGATCTCAAAATATGCTTTTTTTATATTTAATGCGAGAAGCAATCCAAAACCACTATGTATATTTATGCCATCCACTTTTGATTTATAACATATAATAATGAGTTCAGGACCAATTGTAAATCAAATGTTATACCTTGAAGAAGCTTATCAAGTTCCTTGGATCCAGTGGTAATTTGAATTATCTCTGAGCGCCTTTGATGAAATTCTGTAGCTGTGGTGAATCCCATTGGAACCAATTTTGCAGCTTCAGCCTGCAAATCACAGTGAAATCAAAAGACTGATTTTATTTTACAACTCAGTTATTTCATTTGTATCCTTGTGTTAAAACTCTCACATATTTTGCTATAATCCTTTAAACAAATTACAATTAACCACTTTCAAAAAGTATATGATAGGATGAGCATGCTCCAGGTTCTCTCTCTTAAATGTTGTCACCTAATGGGGACCTTGGAGGTGCTCTTTCTTGGTGGCTACCCCAGCCCTTTGGAATAGCCTCCCATGTGAGATTTGAGGAATCCCTACCCTTTAGTCTTCTAGAGCAGAGGTTCCCAACCTTTAGGACATCAGGGACTGGTTACATGGAGAGAGGTTTTTCCGCGGCCCGGAGGGGGCATGGTTTTGTGTGCTGCCTGCATCCTGTGGATGGGGCTTTCCTTGTTTGTGTGGCCCAGTTGCTGGCATGCCGTAGTCCGGTACTGGCCCATGGACTGGAGGTTGGGGACCCCTGTTCTAGAGGTCTGTGAAAAGCTGGCTCTCCCCCAACATTAAGCTAGGATGGGGTTGAGCTGGGAGGCTGCTTGATCTGACATCCTGGAGAGAAGAGCATTTCTGTTTTATGGATTGTTATGAGCCACCAAGAATCATTATATGAAGTATAGGTCCAATCAATCAGTCAATAACATAATACAAATAATACTCAGTATTGCATAAATACAGATAATCCTCGACCAGCAACCACAACTGAGCTCAGAATATATGTTGTTAAGTGAGAAATTTGTTAAGTGAGTTTTTAAATGAGATTTTTATGACTTTTCTTGTCACATTTGTTACATGAATCACTGTGGTTGTTAAATTAGCAACCTGGTTAAGTGAATTTGGCTTCCCCCTTGACTTTGCTTGTCAGGTCACAAAAGGTGATCACATGACCCCGGAACACTGCAACCGTCACAAATATGAGTCAGTCGTCAAGCATCCAAATGTAAATTGCACGACCATGGGGATGCTGTGACTGTCATAAGTGTGAAAAATGGGCATACGTTACTTTTTTCAGTGCCGTTGTAACTTCAAACAGTCACTAAATGAACTGCTTTAAGTCGAGGACTATCTGTATACATCCTGAACATGTTTAAGCTAAGTGAGATTACCAGGATTTTATCTGCTTTAGCTTCACTGATGCCTTTAATATTGAGCAATTCCTTCTTTGGTGCATAGGCAACAGCTTCAACGGTATGAAAACCAGCTTCTTCCAATTTCTTCACATCATTTGCATTTATTCCACATTGCTAGAGAAACAAATACTGTTATATAACAAGTTTAATGTAGAATTCAAAGAGTTCTATACATATCAGATATTACAATCCAAATGAAATAGGTAACAAACATAAACAACGTAATATTCTAATGTAAGAGTGAGCTCCACTAAACTCTATGAGATTTGGTCCTGCACTCTGCAAAGATAGCAGCTGACATTTATAATCAGCTTTGTCCATTTCAATTATTTTCATCAATTTAAAGAAAAACAGAGCTTTAAATTCCTTAGCAGGTATAGTTTTTAGTAAAAAGATATTCTAAGTTTTTGAAAATAAAACCAGCTATTTTTTTAAAATGTATTTTGCATAATGAATCAATACCTAATGAATCAATACCTAACATTGTCTTCGTTTTTGTTTGCAAGCAAAAAGAAATACATTTATGATTTATTTATCTATCACTTTTATATGGCCTCCCATTTCGCAGAAGCAACTCTGGGTAATTTACAATAACCAATAAAAGCAATATATAAAAACAGTCATTATAAAAGTATAAAATCTTTATTAAAATAAAAATACATTATTAAAAAATAAAAGTTATTTCAATAACACTAAGATTTTGAAAATATAAAGATTTTATATTAAGGACACTTAAGTCCTTTCTCAACTACTTTCAAACATTGCATAAAAAAGAAACAGATTAACTTTTGTCAAGTAAAATATTTTATAGTGTCAGTACTGGTGGCAAGGAGCTTTATTTCATCAAAAACATTTTTAAAAAGCTAGTATGGTTTCATTGAAACTTTCACTGAAACAGTACGAAACTTTTGAAAATTATCAATAAAGAATATAAAGATGGGACTGTAGACATGACTCCAAATAGTTTCACATTAATATATGTTAGTTACATACCTCTAAACGAGAAATAGGCTGAGGCCCAAAGCTTTCCTCCTCCGTTGAGATATCTATGCTCTCATCACATTGCATTTGCATAGCCATGGTACAAAGTATTCAATATTCCTATCAAGAGAGAAAACAACAAAAGGCACAACATTACGTTAACGGTGTACAGCTCTTTAAAATTACCTTTAATTTTATAGGTCATACGGTAATTAATAGCCTCTATGTTTTCATACGTTTCATTGAAAAGTAATCCTACCTGGAAGACAACCCACAAATACAAACCCTAATAATAATACTAATAATAAAGTTGAAAGGCACCTTGGAGGTCATCTAGTCCAACCCCCTGCTCAGGCAGGAAACCCTATACCATTTCAGACAAATGGCTGTCCAGTCTCTTCTTAAAAACTTGCAGTGCGTTCACCGCTTCTGGAGGCAGGTTGTTCCACTGGTTAATTGTTCTAGCTGTCAGGAAGTTTCTCCTTAGTTCTAGGTTGCTTCTCTCCTTGGTTAGTTTCCACCCGTTGCTCCTTGTCCTGCCTTCAGGCGCCTTGGAGAATAGCTTGACTCCCTCTTCTTTGTGGCAGCCCCTGAGATACTGGAACACTGCTATCACGTCCCCCCTCGTCCTTCTCTTCATTAAACTAGACATACCCAATTCCAGCAGCCGTTCCTTATATGCTTTAGCCTCCAGTCCCCTAATCATCTTTGTTGTATAAGATGTTATGCATTTCTTGGCACACTGCTTAATTGACATTTAACAGGAGTGAACGTGAGACTAATATTAAATAAGCGGCCCTCGTTTTATTCCTGGCCGGAACTAAGTGCCCCCCCCTTTACAAATCCCCAAACAACACCTTTGGGTCCCCAAGTCTCTTCTTCCGACACCGCGAGAGAGGCCCAAAGGGAGACGGTCGATTCCCGACGGCCTAAGGCCTCCAACAGCCGCCTTCCGTGTAGAAAGTGAACCAAGCTCGATTCTTCCGTGGATCCCTCAATCGAACCGCCACCGGGCCCCTCGAAGGCCTGGCGCCGCCGAGATCCTTCAGCCCTCGACGCCGCCCCGCTCGCTCGCTCGCTTCCTCCTCCTCCCGATTCAGATTAACCCGCCACAGGTCACATGACCGACGCACAGGCGTAGAGACGTCTCCGCGGAACGCGGGCTGGACATTAAAAACAAGAAAAGTACCTTTTACGCATGCGCAGTGGGCTTGGCGGAGTGGAAGGAAAGTGTTTGATCCGCCGAAAAGGGTTTTTTTCCAAGTGTTTGGTTTTTTTTAAAACCTGTCTTGTAGTTTACTTTGATTGGGGTTCTTTCCTTATATTCGTGATGTATAGATCGGTTATGCAGGGAGACATAATTTTCAAAATGCCAACTTCAACCCGAACATTTCTCTTCGTGATTATTCATGTATGCATCTTGTATCTGGATGGGTACAACTTCCTGAAACTTTGAAAATACATGTGGGAAAGTGAAGCAGGCTAATACGCGATGTATTAATAGAGAATATAGGCGGTAGAGGAGAATAAACGCTTATGTCTATTTGAAGATTCCCCCCCCCCCCAAAATACTGCATACCCACGGAGATTTTGGAATGAGGGTTGCTCATGGGTCCGTAAAAAGATATTCCCTACCAAAGCAAGTGCATTTCCTGTATTTAGTTACTTCGATAGACGGCAGATCCTACTAATTCAGTGTTTATCAACCTTGACCATTTTAAGGCATGTGGACTTCAACTCCCAGAATTCCACAGCCAGCAATGCTGGCTGTGGGATTCTGGGAGTTGAAGTCCACATGCCTTAAAATGGTCAAGGTTGAGAAACACTGTAACTAATTGAACATCTTATCTTTTCCCTTTGAAAATTGGGGCAGGCGGTGGCACAAAGCAAACAAGTGCGAATTAAGACAGGATGTTATTTTCTTAGATCTCCTCTTAACTTTTTTTTTAGATTTTTATCCCGCCTTTATTACTTTATAAGTAATTCAAAATATTCCTTCCTCCTATTTTTCTCCACAGCAATCACCCTGCGAGGTGGGTTAGGCTGAGTCTGACTGGCCCAAAGTTACCTAGCTGTTTTCATATCTAAGGTGGGATTGGAACTCAGTCTCCTGGTTTGTAGCCTCATGTCTTAACCCCCCCAGGTTAAACTGGCTTTCTATTTTACTCTTGTGTCCTGCTCCCCCCCCCCAATGAAGGTGTTTACTGAATAAACCAGTTCTTGTCAAATGCACGTGGTTGCAACTTGGTTCATACTGCCTTATTATATAGTTCTGCTTAAGCCAGTGTTTTTCCAACGTTATCTAGTTATAGATCTTTTTAAGATGTGTGAACTTCAACTTCCAAAATTTTCTAGCCAGCTTGCTGCTTGGGGAATTCTGCAAGATGAAAGCCACACATCTTAAAAATTGCCAAGTTTAAAAAACACTGGTTTAAGCTCACTCTGAACCAGAAATCTATGACTGGATAACTATGGTTTGTGGTTTTATCTTGCAGAAACCCAAATAGTGATTTATTCAATAAACTATAGCTTAATACAGTGTGTGATTATTTCTTTTAATATGAACCATCTTCTTAAGGTAGGAAAATACTTAACTGTCCACAATTGTACTTCTGAAAAACCTTGGTATACTGTTAATTACAAACTTAATATGTGTTTGTAATGTGTTGTAAAACTCAATATGCATTACAGAAGGCATTATTGTAGTTTCTGGCTTCCATCCTCTAGAACACCATGGCCCCAAAGTGTGATCCACACTCACCCTTTTGACCTTCCAAAAGAGATTGAAGACCTGGCTCTGCCAAATGGTCTGGGACCCCAATGGGGGGTCTGTCATTCTACAGGTAGTTAACAGACTAGGAGAAGACCCCACCCTCCTCCCCCTGGGCATCTTGCTCCCTTCCAGGAAAGGAATGGGGGGGCAGACACGGACTACATTCTGATGCAATCTACAGTGAAATAAGTAGAACATACATTATGTTATATACATTAAGTCTGCAAAGTAGTGTTTGCTTCATTAGTTGAAGTTCAATCATTGTCAAATAAATATCATAATTTGAGGACACCTTGAGCTCCTGAATGAGGTGGGATAACAATCTAACAAATAATATTTTTATACCACCATAACATCAACATTATAGTATCACACAATAACCACTGCAATAAATTGTTCTTTGGATAAACAGCAGTCTTAATAAATCATTCCTATCTATTAAGCCGAAATGAACATGTGGATAGAGGGCTACTAAGGGGAAAATAAAGTATAAAAAATATGCTCTTGTACAGCTTCTTTCAGTTGTTTTATGCTCTCGCTAGTGTCAGTTTTGATGACATAGCCACCATTTTTTGGTGGCCTCCTTTCCTCTTACTGCCAACTATTCTGAGCATACCTTTTTTCCAGTGCGTTTGATCACATGACATGGTTGAAATTTTGTGATTTTAGCTTTTAAGTATAAGTTTTATACACTCTTGTATAAGGAATGCATAGGAGTCTCCCCTGACACTACAGCTCAAACAAGTTGTTTTTCCTTTTAATTTTTTCATGGACCAACTTTTGCTACTCTTAAGTAGCTATGGGAAATATAATGATGTGGATTAATCTACATTTAGTTGTCAGGCTGATGTCCTTGCTTTTCCATATTCAGTGTATTCAAATTAAATAAGTGTCAATTAACTTTCATTAGGATTTATTTTTAGGGACATGTAACATCCTAGTATAAATTAAAACTACTGAAAACAGAGTGGGGGAATAATAAATAGAAAAGATACAAGAAAAACAAGCAAAAGCGTTATCTGAACAGGACATGAATAAGAGGAAAACACAGGAAGTAAAGCAGTGTATAAAAATATACTGAGTATTTAAGATAAAAGGAATTAAAAAAACTTTGTTTACTTATGTTTTCAGATGTGATTCTGAATAAGAAAAATGCAAAATCTATAAAAAGTAAAGTTTTACACTATACTATATTAATCTAGTTTTTGTTTTCTATAATAAAAAGTACAACTATTATTGAATACTGGACCACAATGTTTCTATTACACATGCTGTTAACCTTTCTCGATTTGGATGCATAGTTTAGTTCTACTTATAAAAGCATTTCTACAAAATCTTATTTTTTCTTTTCATAAAATTGGTGTGAAATAAAGGTAGCTTAACCCAACATTTTAAATGTTAACAGAAACATTCTAAACAAATAACAAAATGTGATTCACACAATTTAGAGGGAATAGATTTTTTTTAAAAATAATAATAAAATATATAAAGCATTTTTTAATCTTATTAAAATAAAAAATATAAAATAAAAAATAAAATAAAATAAAGAAATAACATAGTGAGATAATGTTGAATATAAGTGTTGGCAGTGTTTTTTTTTCATTTCTAAATCACTACCAAGATGGTAAAAGTATTCTTGTAAACTTTATTACATTTTCCTTTTTGACAAAATACTAAAGTTAAAAAACACTCAAACATCAAAAAGCATTTAAATATGCAATATTTTACATATAAACATAATTTGTCCACCAACAAAATATTAGACAAGGGAACAAATCCTATAAGTTTTGTTGTAAGAATGTCAACATTACAGATACAAGATGAGCCTGCACAAAAAAGCATGCTAATAATGATGTCTGCTGTATTCATTGAAACTGAAGACTTTCCTCAGTCAGTATAATGGAATAACATTTTACTACATCCTATGATCATTTTTAAAAGATTAGGAGACTGATCCAGTATTCTATATCCAACATTCAATTACTTAAGTGCTTTATAGATAGGACTCAAAAGCTCCTCTTATCTTAGCATCCCTTCACTGCAGTATATGTTTCAAAATTACATCAACTACAATATATTTTATTCTATTATAAAATAGTCTCTCAGAAATAAAAGGCAGGGCAAAGCACTACTGAAAAATATCGAAAAGAAATTAAAAAAAAAATAAGAGGAACCACATTACAGTTTTGCACTACAGAAGAAAGGCAAACTATTTCTGCTTTTTTATAGTTTAAACAAAGATGTAATCATTCTGGTACTACGTGCGTGATAGTTGATTTTTTTCCAAGTGTTCTAGGAGAACAAACTATTGCACAGTTGCTCTTTTATTTTTCGGAATTGCTGAAGGATATTGGAGTAGATTACAACTAATGTGATTGACCATTCTCTTCAAATAGTTGGCTCCCACTGGAACGCTGGACAAAACCATAGAAATTTCCTCATGTCTGAGAACAGAAAATGCATATATATAAACTGATTAAGAAAACATTTCTGTTAAACTTTTTCACAGAAATGAAGCATGCATCATTACCCAGAGACATTCATCTTTGTTTTACTCACCCAAGATTGCCTGTGCATTTTTGGATAGTGAAAGCTAATGGAGATGTTGGATAATTGGCAGATAAAGAGAATTTGACTTCAAACTTTGCAAGAGGCATAGAACTGGAGAACAAAAGGCGTATACTATATACAAAAAAACAGATACATAAAGTTAATAGTTATGTATGTTACTATCCAAACAAACCCATGTGAAATAATTGGGAGAAACAATCGGATTTGCAATGAAAAATTGTGAACATGGATAACTTTTATCTTTCACCTAAACCAAATGATGTAGTGATAATCTGAACTGGAATCTAAATTAATAACTTGATAAATGGAAACTAATAAATAAAAGTAAATTCAGCCTATTTTCAGTAACTTCACCATGTAAACCAGAGATGGCAATTAATTTTCCCAAAAGGCCACATGAGAAACTGGGACTGTTGTACAGGGCCACTACTTGCTTCTGCTTTATCTCTGGAGACATTTTAAAGAAGTATGAAATTATAGAACCATAAATAGTCAGAAACTTAATAAAGTTCCTTAATAAATATACCTTGCAGATACT